CCTCTTATTGGCTAGCTCTTACATATTGTTCTAACCCATTTCTAATATTCTGTGTAGCCCATGAGGTGGCTTACCAGGGAGGATCTTAACCTGCATCTGTCTGGAGCGGGAGAATCATGGCGGCTCCTCACTCAGCTTCTTTCTCCCAGCATTCTCTTCTGTTCACTCCACCCACCTATGTTCTAACCAATAAGATGGGCCAAGGCAGTTTCTTTATTATAATTAACCAATGTCCTTCCTCCATCACTCATCATGCTATGGAAGAGCAAGTGTCTGGTCCATAGTTTGTTGCTGTTTTGAGACAGGGCTTTACTGAGAGGCTCTGACTGTTGTAGAGTGATCTGTATCTTCTTTATGGGCCCCACCTGCAATACTGGGCTTCCTGCTGGTCCTCTAACAAGCTCTTTCCTACCTTGTGCTGCTGACCACTGGATCTAAGCAGAGGGACATGTGTTTTGTGGTAATACTGTCTCCCCATCTTCCCTTCTCATAAACTTGCACACTTCTTATCAATATTACAGTCGCTCTCAAGGAGCTGCCGTGGCTCTGTAGCAGGGTGCCTGTGTAGCATGGACAAGGCCTTGGGTTCAATTTCCAGAAAATGAAGCAAATAAAAAATAAAGACCCTCATCCCCCCAAAAGAAAACAAGTTTAAAAAGCTGGATGGTGGTGGCACATGGCTTTAATCCCAGCACTTGGGAGGCAGAGGCAGGTGGGTCTCTGTAAATTTCAGGCCAGCCTGGTCTACATAGTTCTAGGACAGCCAAAGAAACCCTGTCTCAGAGAGAGAGAGAGAGAGAGAGAGAGAGAGAGAGAGAGAGAGAGAGAGAGAGAGAATAAAGCCCATTTCAAAAGTTCCTTAAAGAAACTTTCGCTTTTCACCCTCTCAAGGGAGAGACTCAGGGATTAACAATGCACACACACACACACTTGGCAGGGAGGCTTAGCTAGAAGGACTTGGGTTTGGATTCCCTTTGTGACAGTCTCTATTTAGCCATCAGTATTAAGGGATCATTCTAAGCACAATTAGCAAAAAAAACCAAAAACCTTATTTAGAGGCCCAAAGCCTAGGCTAGCCTGACTCCTCGCACAGCAAGAATGACCTTGAAATTCTGACGCTCTTGCCTCCACCTTGCAAAAGCTGTGATTACAAGCAAATACCGCCATGCCTACGCCCTGCTGAGGATAAACGTGCCAGGGCGGTGTTCTCGGTAGGCGGGCACTCTGTCAACTGAACTACACCCTCACACCCTTGAATATAATTATCTATTTAAAAGTCTGTAGTCAGCCAGCACGGTAGTGCACTCCCTGGCACTCAGGAGGCTTGAAGCAGTGGACTGACAGAGGCCAGCCTGGGCTACACAATGAGACTCTTAAACAACAGTAACAGAAAACTATCTAGACTAGATTCTAAAATCTTAGCATGTCTAGCCTTCTGCGTCATTCTGATAACTTACCAATGGGCCCGCAGAAAGTAGAAGTAGGGACAAATGAATGAAAACCACGTGTTAAAGGAGAGATGCAGAGATGCACCGGTGAGATCCACCCGCGGCCTAAGCCACTGACCACAAGGTCAGAGCTCAGAGGGGCAGGCTCCGCATGGGAGGGGACTCTCCAAGTCACCTCCTTTACATCTCTCTCAGCCACGTCTCAGCGTTAAAGAAGTCAGAGTCAGGGAGAAATGGTAGCCTGCTTCCCGCTAATTTGCTGCCCGGGACACTGTCGCTCCCACCAAACTCAGGCACACTTCCGTAAGGAAAGAGATCCGCTCTCCTCCAGATGGCCCCGCCCAGAGACCTCCAGCCCAGCACCAATTACCTGCCGCAGCCCTTGCTCGTCCTGAACGTGGCTCCACCCACAAGGCGGGGCTTATGAGACCGCCCTCCTTCCCCAGTCCCCGGAAGTGTACCCAGGCCAACCGCTCTAGCCTCCCGGGTGTCCGCCGACAGCTCCACTCCAAACTAGACTGCCATACCGTTCGATTACTCCAATTCCTTGTTCAGCCCTTAAAGGGCTAACGGAGTTTGTCACAGCGGTCGTTAGTAGAGACTTCTGAAGTGGGGGGGGATGGCCTGGAACTCATTAAGTAAGCCAGGGAGACCTTGAATTCTGCTGCAGCCTCCTGAGTGAGCCGCAGGCTCTACAATGCCGGGTTTTGCCTGTGCAGGCTTGAGGCTGGTTCAAGTTGTGGCGCTTAAAGCGGTCCATCTCCATAATGGTCGCGTGTGGTTATAGCCTGTTCCAGACCACAGGCGTTTGGTCTTCCACAGCTCACAGGCTGAGCCAAGAGATTAAACACAAACGACAACTAGGTCCTATTCTGAAGGGTGAGGAATAAAAAAGTCCACTGAGACTAAAACTGTATGGTCTTGGGTGAAGTTATTAATTAATACTTTGGGTGTCCTCTCTGCAACAGAAATCCTAAGATTTCTATAGGGATTGTGGTCAGGTATCTTTGGAGGCTCCGAGCTGGTTTCTCTGTAAAAGCCATGATAATTCTGCCTATAAATGAAACCCTCTGTCGACAACTTCATCTGCATAAGCTCCGACCCATGTCCTAGCTATAAGTGCTCCGTGTCTTTCCTAAAACAAAGATGGCTGACCTGTGCCTATATATGTGATCAGAGTACCACACTGTCATGCTCACTATTGTCAGAACTCAGACTGGAAACAGCAAAGCTACTGCACTTACCGGTAAAGGGCAGACAAATGTGACCTCAGACACAGACTCCAGCACCTAACAGGGAACTCTGACAACTGCCAAGTCTGTTCCCCTCTAGGAACCCTGGTTTTACTCACGTGTAGGATGGGGATAGCAATGCCAGCAGACAGCAGTTGGGAGAATCTACTAATACAACTAAAAGGAAAACTTGGGTTTTAATTTTGAGACAAGGATCTCATGTAGCCTAGGCTGGTCCCCAACTCACTGTGTAGTTAAGTATGACTTTGAATTCCTGATCCTCCTGCCTCCAATTTAGTACCTCATTTAGCTACTTGAAAATATAACCAACATTTATGGACAAAGTGGAATTTGTGGTTGCAGCTCTCTTCACTATTTTGCCATATATTTCTCTGCGTAGCCCTGAATATGCTGGAACTGACTCTGTAGAGCAGGCTGGCCTAGAACTCAGACATCTGCCTGCCTCTGCCTCCTGAGTGCTGAACTAAAGGCGTGCGTCACTAATGCCCTAACACTTCAAAATGAAACTTACAGTTATCAAAGAGTGTATCTTTATGTAACCCAGGCTGCTGGCTTTGCCATATGTATAAGTCCCAAGTCCTGGTCTCTGGCCTCCCACTTTGTAGGCCTTGTCCCTGTTCCCGCTAAGCTTTGACCCTTTCCCAGAAGAGTGTCAAGAGGAGCCCGCCAAAATCTTGACTACTCCCCCAGTCTACTTAAACTGTTTCCCCATAAGGTCCCCTCATGGTCTCTTTTCCTTCCTCCTTGTGGTTATGTTAGCGGCATCCCGGTTCCCTCTCAGGGCCATCCGAGGGTGCAGAAATCCCATTAAACCTGGATATTTTTAATTTGTCTTGATTGGGATTTTTGCTTCGGCAGAGAGCTTGCATTATAAAAAATTCCTAACTATGTTTCCCATACCTGGACTTTGTATGACTTCCTGTAAATAATAAAAAGTCTCCCGGTGGCTTCCGAAGAAGAGTTTAGAGGTGTACACTCACTCGTTTTCCTTCTGGAGACTGGACCAAGGCCAGGTTGGCTCTGCTGCGTGCTTGACTTGTGTTTAGACAGCAATTACTGCTGAGAGTCCAGACTGCTTTGCTGGGCCCTGGGTCTTTTGACTAGGATTACCTCAAGATGCCATGCTAGAGAAGTATATTAACAAGAAAAACTGGAATATCGGATAGTTTACCTTGTAGGAACTAATCCTTTTAGAATAGAAATCACATTCCTGAATTCTTGTAGGAATGTTTGAGTTCTGTTTTTAAAATGGGAGTCAAAGGGGCTAAAGAGAAGGCTTAAACAAAACCAACCAACAAAAGCAAAAGAAAACCCAAATAAGTTTGATCATTTTGCAAGTAATAAGTGGAAGCTTTGTATTCCTATCAGTCTTACAAGAACTGACTAGGAAAAAAAAAACTGTATTTGTATAGAATTTAGTTTAAGAAATGCTTCCAATATTTATTTCTTTTCTTCCAAGCCGAAGAATTGGGAATGTTAAATCTGTTTCACACGTCTAGGCCAGGTCTTCACTGGAAAGTCGGCAACAGTTATCCTAACTTTAAGTGAAGATGCTGACAGGGTGCTTTACAGGGTAGGAATGAGAGCTAGGTACGGGAGCCAACCACGATAAGCTAAGTATGGTCATCCAAAGGAAGTTCTTTACTTGCAACCATTATCACCTGCCAGAGTAGAACTCGGCTAGATAAATTTAACTGGAGGCCTGAGTCTCAGTAGTTTACCCTAAAGCAATACCTGGTTGCAGGAAGAACCACAAACTGAGATTACCTGAGCACCACCCAAGAACAGAACATCCAAAGGAAATGCCTAACATTCCAACAGCTGTAGATAGGCACACACTCACCACGACACCCCTAGACAAATGTCAGCCAATCAGGGATCCTAAACCTCAGAAACCCCTCACTCCCACCTTTACTGCTATAAAAACCCAATTCTAACTGAGTTCGGGGCTCTCCGTTTATTCCAATATGTTGGACAGGAGAGACTGAGTTTACAAACTTGATTAAAATAAAGGCTCTTTGTTTTTACATAAGGGACTCGGTCTCCTTGTTGGCTTTTGCGGGGACTTTGAGGATTTGGGCATAACACTAGGGAAAAACTAGCTACGCACTTCGTAATCTTCCCGGGGAAAAGCCTTGAAGAGTAGGCTAGGAAGAGCATTCAGTTTTACTAAAACTACAAGTCCCAGCACTCCCTGCGGCACACGGCTACGGGTCCCAGCAGGATTCTCTTAGAGACCCGGAGTTCGGCCTGAAAAGAGCGAGTCAAGTTTTGAGGACGCTGCGCAGACGCCACTCACGGGTCGGACGTGACGTAAGGAGGGTTCCGGCTTCGGCCTCCGCCGCTGCCTCCGGTACTTCAGCTGCCGCCGCTGCCTTCGCCGTGGCTCGTTCTTCCTAAAATGGCGCCGCTAGATCTGGACAAGTATGTGGAGATTGCGTGGCAGTGCAAGTACCTTCCCGAGAACGACCTGAGGTGAGCCGGGCCGGAGGCCGGCCTGCTTGCGAGGCAAGCCCCTTCCGGCTGCGGGGCGCCCGCCGGCCCGCCCTTCTCCCTCGGGCGGACCCCGGTCCCGGTGCGGCGGGGGGCGCTCCGCGGTGCGAGGCGACCGGGTCCGACACGGCGAGACGCCGAGAAGCAGGGGAGCCCGATCCCGAATGCTGGCGCTGCTCCCCGAGGGGATCCCGGGGATGTGCGGCCCCGGCCCTCAGGACTCCCAGCCATAGCAGCTTTGCTGGAAGACTCTTCCACTCGGACACGCTCGGTCTCCCGGGGATGGAGCCCGGCCGAGCCCGGCGGGCGGCGCTCCCGGGAAGGGGTCCTCCCAGCAGAGGTGACAGGAGCTGCCGTCTGCTCCAGGGACGCGGGTGGACGGAGGTGGGAAGCCGGGGGGGCGGGACCGTGTGGCCGTGACGGGAGAGAGTCAGGTCGCCTCTGCTTCACCACTCCGCTAAATTGCGTCTTAGGAGTTCGTTTTCTCCTGCTCACTCTGCTGTGGGTCCCATTTCTGAGCAGATGATTCAGCTAGTGGACAAGCGGTCGCTTATCCAGAAGTTCCAGTGTGTTAGGACCTCTGAGCTCTTCCCCCGTAAGCCAAAGTGTCGTTTTCTCGGTTTTCCGAGGAGGGCTCACTCAGTTCAAGCTGAGAGCGGTAAAGGACTGAAGGGAACGGGAGCAAGCCGTTGGTGTCCCGCTGTTGCAAACTTGTTTGCTTCCGTTAAAGCTAGTGCTTAGTCCCCATTGGTGCTTGTCCCATGTTGCTAGTGTAAGTCCCCCACTCGCAGACCTTGTTTAAACAAACCTCTGCGTGTGCGTAGTCTTGGCTGCCCTGGAACTCAATCGGTAGACAGACCGCAGCCTTGAACTCACAGAGATCCACCTGCCTCTGCTTCCCGAGTGCTGGAGGATTAAAGGCACGTGCTGCCACCACCCGAACTAGTGTCTGTTTTACTTCATTAACTTTATTATGTAGTGTATAAATTCATGGTCATTTGAATTCTTTTTATGCTTTTTTTCTAATAATCTTAAACTATGGGCTTAAAACTTTTTTTTTTTGAAGAAAAAATTATGTTTTGTTGGTGAATTTTATTTCTCTTAGGAAGATTTTGCTGTTTTCTTCCTCACTCATTTGGTATATTAAGTTATACTTAAATCAGTCAACAATATTCAAAATGTTTAAGACCACATGTGCTGTCTGTGTTAAAGTATCTAACTTGTGTTTTATGTGTTACATGGCTGGTATTCATGTCCAGCCATCTGCATCTTTCAGTCATTTATCTTTTTTCTGTTTTCTTTCTGAGATAGGATCTTAAGATAGTTCTTGTTGGGACTGGAAAGATGTCTCAGTGGTTGAGAGCACTGGTTGATATTCCAGAGGGCCTGAAAGTTCTGTTTCCAGCATGGACATGGGCGTTTGTAACCTTCTGTAACTCCAGTTCAAGGGATGTGATGCCCTCTTCTGGCCTCTGCATGCACAAGGCACACCCGTATTTCACAGACATACACCAGGCAAAAAGTCATACACACAAAATAATTCTTTTTTGTTTGTTTGTTTGTTTTCTCCCTGTAGCCTTAGCTGTCAAGTTGGCCTTGAACTCACAGAGACCCAACTGAGTGCTAGGATTACAGGTGTGCACCACCACTGCCTACAAAAAAATAAATCTTAAAGTTCATGGGGACTTCCAGACCACCAAGTACCTGAGGATGACCTCGAACTCCTGATCCTCTTGATTCCCCTTCTAAAATGTTGCAACCTAAACTACCATGCCTATCTGTCTGTCTGTCTATCTTTTGGTTTTTCGAGACAAGGTTTCTATGTGTAACAGCCTTAGCTGTCTTAGAACTAGCTCTGTAGACCAAACTAGCCTCTGCCTTGTGAGTCCTGGGATTAAAGGTGTGCATCACCACCACCTGGCCCTATTTATTTTTATTTTATGTACATTGCTCTTTTGCCTGCATGTATGTCTCTGTGGGGGTGTTAGATCTTGAAGTTACAGACAGTTATGAGCTGCCATGTGGGTGCTAGAAATTGAACCCAACTCTAGAAGAGCAGTCAGTGCTCTCAACCTTTGGAGCCATCTCTCTAGCCCATAAAATTTATTTTTAATTTGTGGTGTAGGACGAGGGGGGAATATGTGCACATGGTGCCTTTGGAGGCCAGAGGTACCAGAGCATTCTGGAGCTAGAGTTACATATGGGTGAGTTGTCAGATGTGGGTGATAGGAACTGAACTCAGATCTGTACAATCTCAAGTGCTGTGCGATCTCACCAGCATTTTTTTTCCCTTTGGATACAGAATATCATGTAGCCCAAGCTGGTATGATTCTCCTGCTTCCATTGTAATAGTGATGTACTTTATTTTATTGTGGTAAGAGAGTGGAACTTAATTTTTAGAATGATATTTGTTAATATATGTTTGTGTACTGTGTGAATTTATGTGCACTGTGTGTAGTGTGTGTGCGCACTGGTTTTGTAGGTGGTATGAGCTTTCTAATGTGGGTGCTGGGAATCAAACCTGAGTCTTTTGCAAGAGCATTAAGCTTTTTTAATTGCTAAGTCACTCTAGTTCCTGTTGTGTGCTTTTTATTTTATTTTGGTTTATCGAAACAAGATTTCTCTGTGTAGCCCTGGCTATCCTGGAATTCACTTATATCTACTCTCTGTGTGTGTGTGTATGTATGTATGTATGTGTATGTGTGTGTATGCACCTTCAGAGGCCAGAGGCATTAGCATTAGATCTCTCTGGAGCTGAAGTTACAGGCAGTTGTAAGCAGCCTGACACATGGTGCTGGAAATGGAACTCTGCAAGAGCAGCATGTGCCCTTAACCCTTGAGTCACTTTTCCAGCCTATACAGAAGTTAGAATTCTCTCTTAGTAGTTGACTAGGAAATTGGGAGGGGGGAATCTAGTAACTTTTTTTTTCCTCCCCTGTTCTGGAAATAGTTTTATCAGATTCATCTGTTTGTGCTGTCAACCTTTATTTTCTTCTTCTTGTGCATTGGTGTTTTGTCTGCATGCATGAGGTGTCAGACCCCTTGGAACTAAAGCTGTGACTAGAACTGTGGAGCTAGACAGCTGTGAGCTTCCATGTGGGTGCTGACAGGGTTTCTCTGTGTAACAGCCCTGGCTGCCCTTGGAAATAGCTCTTATAGACCAGACTGGCCTTGAATTTATAGAGGTCTCTGCCTCCCAAGTGCTGGAATTAAAGATATGCACCATTGCTGCCTGGCACAGCCAGTGCTCTTAACTGCTCAGTCATCTCTCTCCAGCCCGTCTAGTATAGTTCTGTCTCAAAATAGATGTTTATGTGTGTACATGTATATATTTATGCACATGTACATATGCTTATTCATGTGTGTACATGTGTATATTTGCCTGGGAGGAATCTTAGCTGAACACCTGACCACACACCTCAGGAAACTAGGCTAGAGAAAGCACATGACTGACATAATCTTCCAGCTCTGAGCTCTTACTAGCCCAGTTTATCTCTGTGCCACCAGCTAGGAGCAGACCAGCTTTCTCCACATGTAAATGAAAAGTTCAGAAAACTCTCATATCTCTTAACAATAGCCAATCCTACCTCTGCCAAGAACTGTGGTTTACAATAAGGCTGAAGCTGTCAACCAGCAGACTCAGATCTGCACTAGAAGACATTTTGTAGAACAGGGCTTAGTAGAAAGTTAATGAATGTCACAGGACTCAGGTCTTTTAACAAGGGCTCTTGTAAAATTCAAGCCTAACAATATCATAGCACCTTTGCTTCAATTTCAAACAAAGGCTATGGGAGAAAGCTTTAATAACAGACTCCATGTGATTTCATAGGCAATCATTTAGCAGGTTAATGAATCATTTAACTGTCTTTACTCCATATTCCACTCAGAAAGATAAACCCAAAAATGCAACCTCTTATACTGACCAATGTAACTAAGTACAAATGAAGTAAGTCACTGTGTACCTCATTAGCATGCTGCGTGTGTCAGTAAGACAAGCCCTCCCGCCCCAGCCCTGGCGAACAGAGATAAGTGATTGTGCACTGCGCGATGATACCTTTAGGTGAGAACTTTGGTTCATGCAGTAGGCTGCCACAGACGTTGCACTCAAAACCCGCAGCCCTGGCACCCAAAGTCAGGCAGAGGTGGTAGCTCTAGGTGTCAGCCGTGCTCCTTCCACAAGACCAGGTGAATACTGTGGTCAGGCATGCTGGTGGCAAAAACTAAGCCCGTGTCATTGTGCCCATCCAGTCCATTCAGCCAGGATGCTTCGCCTGCCAGGAAGCTGGAGCCTCTCTTTGATTTTCTGTACTCCGGCAGAGGCCAGCGGCTAATTAGGCTCTCTGTCCTCAAATCCATGATGTACAGGTAGTGGTTGTCAAACAGCAGGGCAAAGACATCTCCAAAGCCAAGCAAGGCTAAGTTTGCTACCTCAGGTGTCTTGATGACCCTACAAGGAGGAGAGTTCAGAATCATGAAACAGAAGGCAACTTTGCTGTAGATCAAACAACTAAGCAACTTTAGAGCTAGTAAGATTTTTTTTCATAAAAAGGAAACTGTGAACCGGGGATGGTGGTGGATGCCTTTAATCCCAGGCAGAGGGAGGCAGATCTCTGAGTTCAAGACCAAGCTGATCGACAGAGTGAGTTCTACAACAGCCAAGGCTACACAGAGAAACCTTGTTGGTGTGTGTGTATGTGTGTGTGTGTGTAGGGCGGGGGGGGGGGGGGGAGGGGGGGGAAAGGACGGAAAAAAAAACCTACCAGGATAATATTCTATGAGAGTAGGGAAATAGTCAAAAACTGCTAGTCCTTGGTGTGAAAACTAGACCAGAGCATGGACTATAACCTGGGCTGAAAATGGGAGAAAAAAAGAAAACCAAATGGAATATTCAACAACAGCATATATCTAGTTAAGTTAAACACTCTATCTGGTCAATGATATTTTTGTGTATAATAAAAAATGAAAGAAAAAATTGTATCTTATTAGTTTGTTTTATGGTATTGGGAATTAAGCCCCCAAAGCCATTAAGCCCCCAAAGCCTCAGACAAACTAGATAGATATCTACCACTGAGCTACCAAGCCCTGTAATTGGCTATTGAATGTTGGTCTTCCCTCTTCTTGGTCAGTTATTTCCATGACTTTGGTTTAATGTTTCTGCTGCTTCCCTGTGTACTTCAGAATGCCTGACTCACAGGTAAGTGTTCAATAAATGCCTTATAACAAATAAAGCCAAGGCACAAAGAACAGAAAAGTAAAATAAAATAAAATACCAAAAAGAAGCAGGGTGTGTGTGTGTGTGTGTGTGTGTGTGTGGGGTAATCCCAGCACCATTAATTCAAAGCAGGATGTCTGTGGAAACTAGGTTGTGAAGAGTTAGTTTTCAAGATTAAAATACAGTGTTGAAGAATAGAATACAGGACTTGCCATGCTGATGCAGGGCCCAATTCTGACCTCTTCAGATGTGCAAACAGGAATCCCTACTGGCAGTTTGGGTCCTGGGCTGTTCAACATCACAGCCATTCTCCACCTAAAGTGCACAGCATGCTGCCATTTGTGTTCTTTTTGTTTGTTTGTTTTGTTAGCTTCAAAACTAGAAAGGTTCTAGGAACCATGGCTGCAGGATTTGTGCTGGGATTTCAAAAAGATTTTCTTTATTTGTGTTTGGAGGTAGAAAAAGGCAAAGACAGAATGTCTGCTTTTAACTTAAACCTAGCACTTCCTACTAGCAAACAATCATTCAGGTTCATTACTTAAAGCTAGTATGCCCAAACCCTAGAACATCAATAGAACTTTCTTTTGGGATTCTGGGCAGGAAGCACTGAAACAATGGCGCGCGTGTGTGCACGTGCGTGTGTGCGTACCTGTGTGTCTAGGTCAGAGGACAACTAACTTCCACCTTTGGGGTTCTGGGAATCAAACTCACATGGTCAGCTTGGTAGTAACCTTTACTCACTCTGATCTCAAGGATTTTTTTTTTTTTGAGCAAGTATTCATATAGCTGACCTTCAACTTCACTATTTAGGTCAGGATTACTCTGAACTCCAGATTCTCCTGCTAAACCTCTCAAGTTACAAGATTACAACACCTATGGCTCAAGTTCTTTCAGTTTCCTTCTCAGTTTTGGTGCCCTTGGCTTATGCCTGCTATCTGGATAATAGAGTTGTGGTGGGATGAATGCTGAACTAGGAGATGTAGAATATAGGGCCCTTACACTTTTAGGCTGCTTTTATCCTTTTCTCAAAGCATGATTACCCGAGAAGTGATTCTGACAGCCTGAAACCTGAATTCTGACTCAGATGCAAATGAGGCTGTAGCTGAGACCAGGGAGCCAGAGCTCATCGAAGTCATACTAGAGGACTAGAAAGAATCATATCCTGTATAAGCTGACCTTGACTGTATTTGTCATAATAGAAACAATGACGACAGTGTTCAGTTTTTTCTATTCCATTTTTTATTCTATTGTTTCCTGAACTATGCTACACAGCACTAACTGAATTATTAATAGGTGTGTAATCCAAGAGACTAGACAAATTCAAACAGTCCTTCTTAATGAAGGGCTTCTGAGTTATAATAAAGATTTTCAGCTCCTGTACTAGGTTCATTTATAAATAAAAAACCTGAGGCACAGAATTGAGAAATTTAGGCAAAATCCACACAGACCATAGGAGAGAATAACAGATCTTTGGCATGAGAGGTGCCAAAGAGCCTAAGACTTTGGTGCCTAAGTTCAAGACTTTTTTTTAAATCAAAGTAAATTCTCCCCATTTATCATACAGCACCCAAACATGTCAACATAAACATATGACACTTTTTCACGTGCTTCTAAAACATTTGCCTGAATGCAGTATATACAACCCTGCTGTTAACTGATGTGGTGCTTTCCAAAAGAAGACACTGACGCGCACACTGAGATATTCTCTTTACACCACTGAACTGTATAGACTTTCAGAGGCACAGCACGTGGACCAAGGAAACATTACCTGAGAATATCATAACTGGCAAAGTCCCACTGGTATAGACCAAGCGCTGAACTGCAGACAATGTATTTTCCATCAAAATGAAGTCTTGGCTGCAGACAGATACTTCTATCCTCAGAGACGGACAAGGTCTTTAAGCACTTACAGTTGATTTCTCTCCCAATTGGCCAAATCTACCAAAAAAGGAAAAAAAGGGAAGATGATTGATCATATGAATAAAGAAAAGCCAGTGTTTATATAACATGGGAAAGAAAAAAAGTGGCACCCACTAACAGACACAAAGAAAATGCAGGGTCAAGACTCCTGTTTTAGTCAAGAGTCACAAGTTTAAGTCCTGATTTTCTGTGATTTTAGGTCAAATAGTTAACCTCTCTGAATGAAGATAATGCCTACCACAAAGGTGGTTTAAAAATGCAAGGAAATGGAGTGTCAGCTGGGCAGTGGTGATGCTCACCTTTAATCCCAATACTCAGGAAACAGAGGCAGTCAGGTCTCTGAGTTCGAGGCCAGCCTGGTCTACAGAGTAAGTACCTGGACAGTCAGGGCTACACAGATATCCTGTCTCAAAAAGCATGTGTCTTGTAAATACTTGGTAAATTGTGAAATAAACCAATGTTTCTTTTTGTAGTTTAGATCTAAGAACTGAGGAAGGTAGGAGCCTTAAGAGAAAAGTCTTAGTGCTTAGAGTGCTGAGGCAGGATTGCAAGTTTGAGGTCAGTCTGGGTTACATGACCGAGCCTTTCAAAATACAAAATCAAACAAAACCCACTAAGTATGTGGAAAACAATTTTTAGTGCTTTCTCCTTTGTGTGTACACTCATCAGTGTTGTAACACAGGGGTGAGTTTATGCGGAAGCCAGGAGTTGATGCTGGTGTCATCCTCAATCACTTTACACCCTATTTTTGAGATAGGGTCTCTCACAGAACTTCAGTGCATCAATTTGGCTACATCAGCAAGCTAGCAAGTTCCAGGGATCCCCCCCCACTTCCCATCCTCAAGACAGGGATTCTCTGTGTAGCCCTGGCTGTCCTGGAACTCTGTAGACCAGGCTGGCCTTGAACTCACAGAGATCTTCCTGCCTCTGCCTTCTCAGTGCTGTGACTAAAGGTGTGTGTCACCATGTCTAGCTTTTGTCATACCTTTTTAGTTTTTACTTATATGCAATTTTTCCCCCTTTGGTGAGATAAATTACAGAGGGAAAAGACTTACCTTAATCTCATATTTGTCTGCACTTAAGAGGATGTAGTCTCCAGGGCTGTGCAAGACAGACTTGACTTTACACTTCTGCAAAACCACCTATAAGCATAAGCATCTGTATTATACAGAGAACTTACCACTCTGTTCCTATGCTAGTTTTATATTGTTTTTAAATTAAAATATGAAAATGAGCTTGAGGGGCTGGAGAGGTGGCTCAGTGGTTAAGAGCTCTGACTTTTCTTCCAGAGGTCATGAGTTCAGTTCCCAGCAACCACATGGTGGTTCACAACCACTTGTAGTAAGTCTGGTGCCAACTTCTGGCCTGCAGGAACAAATGCAGGCAGAACACTGTATACATAATAAATAAATAAATCTTTAAAATAAAAAAAATGAGCTTGATATGCTATGCTAGAAAATATGATGTGGAACTCATTATTAGGTTAATTCTTAACATTTGTACTACAACCAGATTCTGTTACTGGCTGTATCTCAGTGTCTAGTGTTGGAAGCAGTCACTCTTATTTTTTTAAATTTGGAAGTGCTAACATTAGGATTAATTTTTAAAATTGTAAAGTGCACATTTGGGATGTTGCTCAGTGGTGAATTGCATGCCTATCATACACAAGGCTCCAATTTGACCCTCGATACTGCATTCTCTTTATTATTACTGCAGTTAATATGCATACGCACACACACCCCACAGGTAACTTAAGCGTAAGGAGCCAAGTGTGGTAGTGCTTGCCCTTAATCCCAGCACATGCAGATCTCTGTGAAAACAAGGCCAGCATGGTCTGTGTAGTGAGTCCATGTCAAACAGGGCTACCTAAAACAACTCAGTTCTTTAAAAAAACCAAATAAACAAGGAACATGAACTGCACACAGATGTAGACAGACATGTTCTCTTTAGAAGCATGTGCACCACAAAGGAAAAGCACCAGGCTCAGACTAAGGCCCTGCAATCTGTCACAGAGATCTGCTAACCATGGCCCTGGAGAAAACAGAGCAGCCCGTGTGCTGTTCCTTAGAGCTGGACCTCCTACATGCTAAATGAGCATGCTACCAATCAATGTGATATACCAGACTTACTGTTTCTCAGTTACTCATTTTTAAGATAGGAGATAAAATACCTATGACCTTACTTCATATAAATGGCAGTGAAGATGAAATAGAACCATACAAATAATAGTAAAGTTCTATAGGACTTGGGGTCACCTGCTATTGTTGGGTCCTAGGAATCTTTAAATAGATCGGCATAACCATTCAGAAGTCTGAGATATAGGAGCAGTGAGACCTGAAGATCTGTTAGCACACATCAGGCACCTCTGCTCAATGCTGCCCCAACATCTATCTAATGTGCATAAGAATTTAGCAAATGACAGAGTCCAAGTCATAAAGGGAGGAGGAACTTGTCCACATCATAGGCATCATCCTGACTCCACACCCGCTAGGGTTGCCTAAGACATATAACTTTCCTGTTGGATAAGTGAGTGTGTCCGGTGGTTACCTATCTTCTCACAAACTTCCCTATCTTTACTTTTACCTATTCAGGGAAAATTTTAGATTGCCCACCCAATCTAAAACCTGGCAGGCATTTCTGAGTCTCTCTTCTTTCTAACCTACAATGAATAACTGTAGGTGACTTTATATTAAAGATAGATCCTTCATGCATTGCCACACAAATCCAAGCCATTGCATCTTTTGCTTAGACTAAATCCAACTAGGCATCTTGTAGCCATATGTATGTATCTCTATAATCTATCAGCTTTCCACATTCAAATTGTTTCTCATACATAAATCACAGCAGACCTTAAATCATAACTTTCAATAGCTTTCTCAATACACTTCTGGTATCTACCAACCTTACTCTGGCCCACAACCTCTTCGTGAGGCCAGCTCTGGCCTCTACAGCATGGCTGAACTGGCCTTCCGGTGCTTTCCTGTCCCTGAGCACATGCATATGTAAACCATATCCTGCTCTTTCCACAGCTATCGCCTAGTCACCTTTTGGTCTGTCTCAAAAAGCTTTTCCTAATTACTCCCTAGATTTTCTTACACTGCACTACACTTCTCCTTCACAGAACTAATTTGCAATTAAACAGCATTTTGTGAATTTGCTACATAGTAACCATTTCTTTTTTAAAAAATATTTATTTATTATGTATTCAATATTCTGAGTGTATACCTGAAGGTCAGAAGAGGGCACCAGACCTCATTACAGATGGTTGTGAGCCACCATGTGGTTGCTGGGAATTGAACTCAGGACCTTTGGAAGAGCAGGCAATGCTCTTAACCTCTGATAGTACCATTTCTATTACATTAAAATCCATCAGATCGGACTAAGGTTTATTTCGTTTGTTCCTACATCCTCAGCCTCTTGGAAAAGAGTATAATAAGCTCAAGAAATGTGTGTTTGGCACAACAAGTATACCATTAATATTGCATTCAAAACAATTTAGTTTTGAAAATGAGAACACCACAATATTCTGTTAAAAGACTCATTTTTCTTCTTTTATTCTCCTTATATTTTTTGTCATAATGGTGCTTGATCATAGGATCTTGTACATGATTCTACCACTGAGCAACACCCAGCTCCTCCCTATCTCACATTTTATAAGCACTGCACTTTTTTTTGGTTGGGGATGGTGTTTGAGACAGGCTTTCTCCGTGTTGCCCTGGCTGTTCTGAAACTCTCTATGTAAACTAGGGGGCCGCAAACTCAGAGATCTGCCTGCCTGTGCCTCCTGAGTGCTGAGATTAAAGGTGTGTGCTACTACTATCCTAACACTTTTCAAAATGAAAATTACAATTCTGAATCAAGAAGGTATCTTAACCACCATGCTCTGTGAGTGCATTTATTCTGCTATGATTCATCTACAATATATGCAAGGTCTATCATCCTCCATTCCCCACCAGTGAGGAGCCAGATACAAAGGACATCCCCTGGTCTTCCTACCTTTGTGACCCATTCAGTATGTCCAGTGAGTGTGTTCAAGCATGTCCCAGCAGATAAGGCCCATACTTTCACAGCGAAGTCCGCAGAGCCACTCACCAGAATATCCAGTTCATCACTGTAGTCCACACTGAACACTAGTGCACACAACACAGTCAGAGTGAAAACACTTCATTGTCAAGGGATCTTTGTAGAAACAATAACATTTCTTCTCCTAGCTCTCCAAATAGGTAACTTCCTAACCAGGGCACATTAGGAATTGAGCTATTCAACCAGCAGCTTTATGATACAAAGAAAATCTATTTCAAAACTGTTACTATTATAGTTTATCCTAAGGATGAGAAAGCCTGCAACTAACATACTCTCTTCTATTTGTGTCAGCTTCAGTGTGATGGCAATGATGGCAACCCTTCTCAGGGTTTATAGGAAAACATCACTCCAGGCAGAGGGGACAGAAAGGCATAGATTAACAGCCACAGCAGTGTCAAGAAATAGCAGAACATTTTTAGAGCAGGACCTCCAAAACTGGTAAGGCATGAAATCTCTAGAAGCTGTGGTATCCTTATGCTGTGTATCACTCTGTTTAATGGATGGGATCCATATTAAACTATAGACTTCTTGTTTGTTTGTTTGTTTGTTTTTTGAGACAGTGTTTCACTGTGTAGCCCTGACTGGCCCAAAACACACAGAGATCTGCCTGCCTCTTAAAGGTGTGTGCCATCACACCCAGCTATAGACCATCGACTTCTAAAACAAATGAGAATGGATTAAAATTTTTTAAAAATATATAAGGATAGTTGAAGGGAGTTGTTTAGTAGAAGAGCTAGGTTCAAAGAAATATTAGCACCTGGTACAACATAAGGAACTTAGACTATCAAAGTAAACAAGATAAGCCGAATCACTGACCTATGGAGCTTAGAGTAGGAGGTAACGTAGTCACTATGACTATGTGTGTAAATAGGACATTCCAGAACAGAAATTTCTTTCATGTTAGTCCCAGGATGTTGCTTGTTTTACTCACTTAGCAGCCAAGTACTAACTGGATCTACTCTGTGTAGATATAATCTGTAAACTGCCCAAGGGGTTTTCAGTTTTGAATAAATAAACAGAATATTTGGGTGTGTAGGATGGAATCCACTAAAAGCAAATGTAAGCGACTGTGCAGAAAGAGAAATAATCTGGGAGAGAAGGACAACTATTCCTAGTATATAGGGTCATAAAAGAGTTTTTGAAGGCTTAGAAAAAGCAAAATTGTGGAAATCATTCCAAATGTAGCGAAATAGCTGCAGTAGTAAAGAGAAAACCACAGGTTAAAGCAAGCAAGAAAAAAAAAACTTAAAGTATTTGACTCTTGATCTTAATAGGCATGGGTAAAGTAATTGTAAAGACCCTCGAAAAAGAAGAACCCACCCGCCCCCGTGTGTCCCCGGAAATGCTGTGTCCTGGCTCCAGAACTCCATTCCCAGCAGGCCACGGTGTTGTCAAAGGAGCCTGTCACAAGCTTCTGTTCATCGAACTTCACAGCTGCACAAGTGTGGGTCTGGATGCCGTAAACACACTGTCCTGTGCTTACATCCCACAGCTTTGCAGACAAGTCATCTGACCCTTGAAGAGAAAAACCAGGAAGGTTAGTGTGACCTAGACACCTTAAAGAAGGACAGTCAGTCCCCTCTGGAGTGCTTCTTCTGCTTTAAGGCTAAGAAAACCAAAGCATAGACAGAATAATGTGATTTGTTGGGCTTCAAAATGGCATTAAATATACTAGGACAGAAAGCAAGTTTATCTTTTCCCATAATCTTCTGGGCTGGAGGATGTTAGACTAAGTCACCTCTTTATGCTTCTATTTGCAACATTTCCTTTCTCTGGCTAGCAGAGCTTTCAGATTTACTTTAGTGTTTGTCTTACCTATGGTTGCATGTTTACACTTGAATGCCTGTCTACTCACTGCCCAACAATCCTGAATAAATAAGGACTGCTGACTAGGAAAGCGAGGGTGAGCCTTAGGTCACTGGGTAGCTTTTACATGAGCTAGTTGGTAATTTCTTGAGCCATCTCGAAAGATGTCAAGGAACTTCAATGAACACTAGGGATAAATCACCCTCAAACATTCATAACAACTCACAGACCGCTTAAATCTGGAGGGAAAAGTGGAGGAAGCCCTGAGTGTGTAAGCTTCTGAATGAATATGTAAGGTCTTTCAACTCCAAGACGTTGGCCCATGGTAAATTGGCAATACAGTTAAACAGGCTAAGAGGGATTGCAAAGCTGTCCTTGGAAGTATGAGTGTTTACAAATCAATGTGTACAAAAAGACTGAGAACTGCAGCTTCCTCCTCACAGCTGTCTACAGTCAGAGACTGGCTGCCTAAGACACCTCCTACTGAGACCAAGGAACCTCCTACTGTGCTGTACCTAATAAACACACCGAGGTTCTGGGTTACTGTGGTTGGAGAACCCCACCCGATCCCAGCTTCACTGTGTGTGTGTGTGTGTTCTTTCTTCGGGGCTCCCAGCCCCAAGTCACATGGGACACAGTATGGCCTCTGAGGAAAAGTTATACTAATCATGATGGTAATTCAGGACTGAGTTTTTATCTCAGTCTGCAATTCTAATCATTAAATTTTGTCTCAAACTTTACTTTTAGAGGCTCAACAAACGACATTTTGAGAAACACTAAATACAGCTATTTTGACTAGGACATTGTATTCTAGAAAAGTTGGTTTTCAAAAGCTGAAAAATGTTTAGACAAGCAGCCATCAGTGCTCTTAACCACTGAGGCATCCGTCCTGACATCAGGGTTTTTGCTGACAACCCAGCATAATATTTTTATTGTAAAAATACAACTAATGGGCTGACAATACAGTTCAGTGGCAAAAAAAAAAAAATGGTTAAACAAAACCAGCCACAAAATCCCCCACCCCCATGGTCTGGAGAGATGGCTCCAAGGTTCAGAGCAAATACTATCCTTAAGGACTTGGGTTCAATTCCCAGCGCCCACATGGTGGCTTACAACCATCTGTAACTCCAGTTCCAGGGGATTTGACACCTTTATCTGACTTCTGAGGGCACTAAGCACACATGTGGCATAACCATACACTCTACACATTAAAAGACTGTGGGCAAGACTTCCATGTGCATAGACTCCAAGGACACTGAAATGAAAGCTGCCTTACTGTCAGCTAGCTATCGAGGTCTCTGTTTTCCTGTCTATGAAATGAGAGGCAGGGTTTGCTGGTGGTTTGTGATGGACACTTCTGGATGGAGACTTGCTGGGAATTGAACTCAGGACCTCTGGAAGAGCAGCCAGTGCTCTTCAACTCTGAGCCATCTCTCCAGCCCCCTAGGATGGAGACTTTTAAGATCACCAAGGGATCATTATTGGAATACACAGTGCACTGAGAACACAGCTCAGTGGTAGAGGTGCAAGGTTATGAGTTCTACCCCAACACCACAGAAAATTAAGAAATGAGCATACAAAGACAAATCTCACACAAACAGGAAAGCATTCTAGTTCAGAGATGTGGAATTAAAAAGGTTGCCAGGCAATTCTCCACCATCAGTAACACTCTTGAGAAGCAGAGCTCGGCAACAATATGCCCAATAGAAACAGCATATAATTTTGTTTCCAATGGTTACTTAAAAAATGAAGTGTATTTTATTTAATTCTGTTTGTCAAAAGTGTTAATACTTTAACATGTAACAAGGTATCAAAAGGACACACTTTCTTCTTTTTTTTAATTTCCCATTTTAAGGGCTGGGGAGCTGGCTCGGTGGCTTTCTCACTCAATCCAGAGGTTACCACAGGCTGAACATGACCTAGCCACAATATTCTAAAATCCAGATAAAGATTAATACTGAAAAATAATAAGCACATTTCACAAAAATCTAGACTTGAAGCTTTTTTTTTTTTTTTTTTTTTTTTTTTTTTTTTTTGTT